GAACGATATGGTCCAGCTCACAACCACAGTCAGCCTGTTTGTCATCAGTTATGTTTTCTATAAAATTAATGTTTCTGTTTGTTGTTTCATTGTTACCTTTGCTGTTCTCACCTCTTTAAACACCCCATTAAATTTAGCTGTGATGTCTATAGAGCGCTACATCGCTGTGTGCTTCCCTCTGAGACACGCTGAGCTCTGCACCGTCAGACGAACTTATATTCTGATTGTCTGGATTTGGGTTTTGAGTTCTGTGTTAGTTATACCTGATATATTTCTCATTGTAGCTACAGAACCTGCATGGCTGTTTTATTCCACAGTATTTTGTGACAGAGATACTATATTCCGACACCCAGTCAGTATAAAAAAGAGGGATGTTTCTAACATAGTTTTATTAACTGCAGTTTGGCTCACTCTCTTCTGTACCTATATAAAGATTTTCTTTGTTGCTAAAGCAGCTAATTCAGCTGATGGAAAAGCTAAAAAGGCCAGAAACACCATCCTGCTTCATGGCTTTCAGCTCCTCTTATGTATGCTGACATATGTGTACCCTATGTTCAGAAATTCACTGGTATATTTGTTCCCTAATAATTATTTACATGTCCTCTTTGTTTGGTACATCATCATCCAGATTCTCCCCAGGTTTGTCAGTCCCATTGTHTACGGACTACGAGACAATGTCTTTAAACAGCATTTAAGAAAACATTTGCTCTGTGTTATGAAAACAGGAAATGAACCACAGCTTTCAGTGAAACTTGTAATGTTTTTTAGAATTGAACCTACACAAAAAATTGTTGGGAAGAAATAGCTTGTCTTTGTTAATGTTTTAATCACACAGTACAGAAACAGGTTTTGTTTTTGTTGCACTCAATTATAAAATGCCACTAGTTGGAGAAAAACTCTGGACATCTGACCTCATCTGACACTATTTTATGTAATCTGGGTTATTTTAGGGGTGTAAGAAAATATAGATACACTAAAATATCACAATATTTCGTTTCCTGATACTGTTTCTATTTTCTAAAGCCCTGTATTGATTTTTAATTAAGGTTGAAAATGTCTACTTTCCGGCCAATGRTTCATTTTTCATGTTGTAGTTCAGTATATAACCACTAGTTGGCACCAGTGAGTCAGCCAGTTGCGTCCTCCACTCCAGAGAGTAACTGTATCATTATCACTTTGAGTACACATTAGCACCATGCACCGACAGCTGAATCTGATCAGATTGACACCCGCTGCTTTCTAAGCTGAGGTAAGTTTACAAATAATCCCTTATTAGTCAGAATTTCTGAATTTTAAGCCAAATTGAAGTGTCACGCATGTGTCTAGCCGTGCCTCAAGTTTAGGGGGTCCCAGAGGGATGGTACTGATGTGACCAAATATAACGACCATATGAAGCACAGTACATTTAAATGACTGGCGTTCTTGCGCTCCCTCCTTAAGATGCCCCATGAGAGAAACATTATCGTTGTAACATCCAGCCACGCAGATATGCGTGATGACGTTTGTGACGTAACTTAAAAATGTACTGTACGTTCCCGCCCAGCAGATGGCAGAGGAAGTATAATAAAGAAATGGAGGCACGCTGCACAATCGCTTGTCCACCCCTGAATCTAACAAACACAAAAAATTATATGGTGTCAGAATTTAACTGCTTGCTCTTCAACCTGACGACGGATGATGGAGAACGCAGGTGTACCGCTGCCACGCATGGATTGGGACGCGTCGAATTTACCGGACGCATGGAGAAAGTTTCGCCAGCATGTGGAGCTGATGTTCACTGGGCCGCTCCGAAATAAAGCACAGGAGGAGAAGTGCAGTTACCTGCTCCTGTGGATAGGAGAAAAAGGCAGAGACATTTTCAGCACATGGAATCTCACCACGGACCAGAGAAAGGTACTGCAAACGTATTATGATAACCTTGAGGCTTACGTCACACCAAAAGCGAACCCAATTTTTACACGTTATAAATTCCATGAGAAGATTCAGGGAGAAAGTGAAAGTTTTGATCAGTTTGTGACGGAGCTTAAACTGCTGGCAAAAGACTGTAATTATCCAAACACTGACGAGATGATAAGAGTGTAGCAGTAACTTAGATGGACTGTCAATACTCAAGAMTTTGGCCCACACATTCTTCATCTCATGTCTACAAGAGAACAGTGACTTATTCAATTAMCTCCAAGCTTGTTTACTATCTACGAGTGGTAAGATAACAACAGGATGCAACAGACCTCCTGTTGATTGAGTACTGTGTAAGAACCCTTTGATGTGCTCAAAATGGCCGCTTATCACAAAGAACTCAAGATCTTCGCAGACGTGATGCCTAGCAGAAGTGGGTCTGGCTGGCATAAAGCCTTTTGAAGCCAGATTCCCTGTTGAGATGTAACACCCAGGCAAACTTCAAAGAGAACCATTCATACTCAATTATGGTTTTAGAGTGCCCCCAAAAGACTGGGTTTATAATTGCACCATGAAGAGATGTTTTTCTGTATTTCTCATTCTGATAAAAAAAGAGAAAAAAAAGAATTATTGTATTTTCTACGTGAGTCAATCATGTGAAACAATGTACTGTTTAATCACTTCACAAACAATCTACCTCTGTGTGTTTAATCAATTCAGTGGCGAGAGACTATGAAGAGGAAGGCAGGTCATGTGACTATTCTCAGCCAATCATGAGTTCAGAGTCAAGACAATAGGAATTAGGTTTAGCAGCAAGCAGTCAGAGTAAGAAGAGAAAAAGATGATGAAGGAAGAAGCAGCGTGAAGGATTAGCTCCAGTTTCCCTCAGGGGACAATTTTATTTTATTTTCATTTTAATTTTTATTTTTCATTTTATTTTGTAACTTCAAAGTTGTTGGTTCTTTATCACGAGGGACTGGATTCATGCAGGAAGCGAGCTCGATCAGAACTTTTTCAATCAACAAGTTCAGAAGCAGATCCCTGGTTGCAGCTTGGAGCCTGACCCCAGACGCTTCGAGGTGTTCAGTTTGTACCCACAAGGGACCGCTCTGAAACCAGCGACACCGCTGGCACGGCTTCAATCACGCCCTGGTACCCCGGGACAACAATAAGACATCTGAGTGGTAGGACAGACGTATTTTCTCTGTTAACGGTGGTGGCTCAGCTGAAGTGGTGGTGAAGTTCTGAATCATTAAGTTAGTATTGAAGAAGATTTGGCGAGTTTATTTCATGCATAATTCACGTCCCCTATTATATCGATGAATTAACAACTTCTTTATTAACCTTTAAGTTCATCTAATTTTTGTTAGTGTAGATTAACTTAAGTGATTCAGTTGAAGGATGCTAGAGTTTATTATGGAATGACATTAATGCTTATTATTAAACCTCAAGGCTTTGATGATAATGTTTTCTGTCTGCCCAAATGACCTGTTGTATTACTATCTCTGAATCATTTTAATATAGGATATATTTTGAAACTTTCGTCCGTCTGTGTGTGATTTATTGGGTTTGTTCTTGAAAATGGTAGAATCCACTACTCAGTAATTGAGACTGAATTAAAATCTATAAATTAATTTCCTGAAWTATCAGGTGGTGCCCCTTTATTATGCTAATAATTRCGAGGTATTTATGATTTAGCATTGTCCATTACATCGACAACAAGCATATCCCTACAAGAGATAGGATCGTGTTTGCTACTAACTCACCAAGAGTCCGTGAAAAGCTGCTATGTCATGGTYCAGACTTAACGCTGGAAAAAGCAATTGATATTGCTAGATCATTTGAGCTSTCACAGCAGCAATTAAAGACAATGWCAAACCCCGCAKCTAGCATGTCGTCTCAATCTGTGCACGTAGTCAGCCGAAATAACAGCATGCCAACACAGCGCTGCAGCAAAACAAGTGGCAGTGATGAAGGTGGCTCTTCTGGTGACAAAACATGCAGAGCATGTGGGAGAGAGCATAGCCGCATGGAAGAATGTCCCGCAAAAGGACGCCAGTGGAATAAATGCAAAAAATTAATCATTTTGCCAAAGTGTGCAGGACGCAAGCACCACAGCGTCCACAAAGATTTAAACCAAGAMAAGTGCATTCTGTCATGARCAACAGTGACCAACMACAAGAAGAACTGTTTATTGACTCCATCACTAAATGGAATGAAAACACTGATAAGGAACAGGCATATGCAGAGGTGGAACTAGGAAAAAAGAGACATACACTCAGCTTCAAAATAGACACAGGGGCACAGGCCAACATCATACCAGCAGACACATTTCATCAGATGTTTGGAAATGTACTATTAAACCCCAACATCCAGTAAACTCACAGCATATGGTGGACAAACACTGGAAACAAAGGGATCCTGCAGATTATCATGCAGCTACAAAGACACATCTGTTTTGCTGGATTTTGATATAGTCTGTGCTTATGCCCCTCCTGTCCTCGGCATGCGGGCATGTTTGGATTTAAACATAGTTAAACTAGTACACACTGTTGATGTGCAGCCCAAAGAACATGCAGACATTTAAGAAGAGCTTGCTGATGTGTTTCAAGGGATTGGACTATTTCCTGGAGAATGTCAGCTTCGCCTCTAACCATCAGCATCTCCTGTTGTGTGCCCTCCACGACCGTCTAAAGGCTGAGCTGGATGAGATGGAAAAAACTGATCTTGTAGTTGTGGAAAAACCTAAAAAAAMAAACAAACTCAGAGTTTGTCTGGATCCACGCCCACTGAACAAAGCCATCCAGAGACCACATTACCCCCTCCCAACTTTGGATGATGTAACACCAAAGCTGGCTGGAGCACAATACTTCAGCGTGTTGGATGCCAGGTCAGGATACTGGACAATAAAGCTCAGTGAGGAATCGTCCATGTTAACTACCTTCAACACAATATATGGCATGTACCGATTTAACAGACTGATGTTTGGAATCATCTCAGCTCAGGATGAGTTCCAGAGGAGGGTGGATGAAGCCTATGAAGGACTACCAGGTGTGGCTTCCATCATCGATGACATTTTAGTGTGTGGAAGCACTAAACAGGAGCATGGCATGAACCTCCGTGCAGTTCTGGAGAGAACCCGGGAAAAGGGTAGGTATAAAGCTTAACAAAGACAAAAGTATAATTTGTGTACCTGAAGCAAGTTATTTTTGACACGTTTTGACATGTGATGGTGTTAGACCTGACCCCAGCAAAATTGAGGCAATCAGAGACATGCCAACACCTCAAAACAAGTCCAAACTGGAAACCATACTGGGTGTGGTCACTTACCTCTCAAAGTTTGCACCACAACTGTCAGAGGCGATTGCACCACTCTGACAACTACTGAAAGAGAAAGATGAGTTTGCATGGTACTCAAGCCAAGATGCTGCTTTCCAAAGCGTGAAGGACCTCCTCATAAAAGGAACCGGGTCCAGTCCTTACCTACTTTGATCACAAAAAGGATGTAAAACTGCAGGTGGATGCTTCAAAAAATGGATTAGGTGCTGTTCTGCTACAGGAGGAGAAACCAGTGGCCTACGCATCTAAAGCCCTGAATGAGACTGAAGTAAACTACGCCCAAATCGAAAAAGAGCTTTTTGCAGTACTCTTCGGCTGTAAACGATTCCACCAATACCTGTATGGACGTCAGGTGATTGTCGAGTCAGACAACAAACCACTAGAGTCGATCATGCGGAAACCCCTGGCAGCTGCACCGCCACGGCTTCAGCACATGATACTACAGCTACAGAGGTACACGACATCATCATCACACACAAACCAGGCAAGCATATTCCTGTCGCAGACACTTTATCCAGAAAACCCACTGCACATCAAGACTCTTCGTTAAGCGAAGGCATGGAATTACAGGTGCACGCTGTAATGGACAATGCTCCTGTGAGTGATCGTAAAATGGCAGAAATCAGAGACGCCACAGCAAAAGACGAGCAACTCATGCTCTTAAAGCGAATCATCCAGTCAGGATGGCCAGAGTCAGTAAAGACATGCCCCCCAGCCATCTCAGAATATTGGGACATCAGGCATGAGATCTCAGAGGCAAACGGCATCCTTCTGAAAGGAGAAAAGATCGTCATCCCACACGTGCTGAGAGCTGAAATGCTGTCGTGTATACACGCTGGACACTTAGGGRTGGAAAAATGTAAGCAGAGAGCAAGAGATGTTCTGTTTTGGTCAGGAATGGGAAAGCAAATAAAAACACTAGTTGGTTCATGCAGCACCTGCCTGGAACACCGAAGCTCTGTCCCAAAGGAACCAATGTTGTCTCATCCAATCCCAGACCAGCCTTGACAAGTCCTGGCAACCGACCTGTTCACATGGAACAACAATGACTACATCGTCACCGTGGACTACTACAGCAGATATTTTGATGTGGAGAAGATCCCCAACCTCACATCATCAGTGGTTATTAAAAAGCTAAAAGCCACATTTGCCAAGTTTGGGATTCTGCAGACAGTAATCAGTGACAATGRACCTTGCTACAGTTCGCAGGAGTTCAAGGATTTTGCCAAAGCATGGGACTTCAAGCACATCACAAGTAGCCCCATGTATCCGCAGAGCAACAGTTTGGCAGAAAGGACTGTAAAAACTGCTAAGGCCCTGTAGCATTTTCYTCCTTCAAGTTATAACTTCTGGTGGATATAACTTGTGTTACGACCGTTTGGGTAAAGAAATCAGACCTATTCATTTCAGACTTCTGTTTAAGGATCTGGCATGATCCTTTGTGCTTCGAATTAGCATATCTTACACAGATCAACAGTCACCATGGCGCCTCAGAAGACAACTGAAAGAATTTACATTGCCACAAGTCTCTGTTTCCACACCTCCATAAGGAATGCCTCTTTTCTTCAAAGGAACGGGGGTCGTCTCATAAACACTTCTGCCAGAACCCTTCCAGCATGACTGAGAACAAAAGGAAGCCACATGCTTGAGTAAATAAAGAGGGAAACTACTCTGTTCTTTTTAACTGTGTTTGCACTAAGAACATTGTTCTAACTGTGTGTTAATTGTTTTTGATGAAATATTTTTCCGAAAAAAAAATGTTTCTTTTAAGTTGTGATTACATGAGTTAACCTTAGAAACTTTAGGTTTGAATTTAACTAAATAGACATTTTTATTTTACTGAGGTAAAGTAAAGGTCTTCTCCCTTTAATTAGATGCAAGATAATTAGACTAAAACACTCCCTTTCTTTGTCCTGAAGAAAATGTTTTCCCTCCAAACATTTGATTTGTTAAAAACTTTGGTAAAGTTCTTCAATTGGCTAACTAAAACCTTGACTCYGCCCATAACAGAGGTCTTAAAAGTTAATGCACAAGAAGAAACAGAGAAGAAGAAGAAGAGAACAAGAAGAGAGTACAGTTTTAAGCCAGAAGCAGCTTCTAAGCARGCGACCACCTCTTGCCAGGCCTTCCCTTTGCTGATCAGGATGGGAAGGGGGGGGTCATCCAACATCTCCGCTATTTGATCCGTAATAGCTCGTTCATCCCACTTCGACTCAGTCTCTAAATTTTGATTTTTATAGGAGTTAAATAAGCTAATGGTAATTCAACTGTCGTTTTAGTCAGTTTTTCTTACAAAGTGAAGATCAAATCAAAGTCTTAAAGCCACCTGTGAAGGACCAGACTCCGCAGTCACCAGAGAGAGAACCCCTTTCTGACTGAAGGACCAGCAGATGAACAGACACCCTGAGTGTCTGAACGGCCACCACACTGAAGCAGCTCTTTGGGAAACATCACATTACAGGACATGTTATTTTGTTTTAAAAGAAAGGGGATGTAATATCCAGCCACGCAGATATGCGTGATGACGTTTGTAACGTAAATTTAAAAAGTACTGTACGTTCCCGCCCAGCAGATGGCAGAGGAAGAATAATAAAGAAATGGAGGCACGATGCAGGCTTGTCATCCCTGAATCTCACAAACAGAAAATATTACAATTGTCTGCTGCTCTTAATGTCCGACTCTTGACTGATCGCGTCTAATGCTGCGTTCACACCGAACGCGATTTCAGCTTCAAAATCGCAGCCAACGCTGACGTTTGAAGCTTGTGCACTTTGAGGTCAGACGCAGGACAGCTCTTGAAGCGCTGCATGGCAACAGCCTCCCCGCCCCTCTCTCCTCTGTCGGGCTCTGTTTAATGTCGGACGAGGAAGTGGCTTTGCTTTATTTACAGAGAGCAAGAGCATGTCACATTCATCAGATAATTAATTCATAATTAATTCACCAGATAATTCAGAGTAGAGGCTCACAGCTCGCT